TTGTTCTTCACTGTAGGTGGTCATCTGTGATGCCTGAGGGGAAAAATGCAAGTATTTTGCAATAAAATTTTGGAAAATGCCTACTGTGTTACAATTCTCTATATTCATCTGTTGTGTTTTCAGATGGAGTGACATTTTATCAAAGTTTTTAAAATGGCTAGATATCTTTATTATGTTAAATCTGCAATGGCTTCTGATAAATACTACAATACTTAACATTTTATTTCAAGCATTTAATCTTTTTAGTTTTCATGATAATTTGGATAGCCATTTGTGTGTGTGTCTATATATATGTGTGTGTATACATAGTTCTCCTTCTCAATCTGTACAATATGATCTGCAATGTTCATGGAAAGGATTTAACTACCAACAATATCATGTATAGAAATGTTGATGCTAATCTTGTGCTTTGCTTTTCTTAGGGGGATTCCTACACACCGAAGCTGGGTGAAAAAGATACGGTTTGCCCCAGGGAAAGGAAATCAAAAACTCCTTGTGATGTACAATGATGGAGCAGAAATTTGGGATTCCAAAGAGGTAAGCGTCTGTGGTTTTGATATGTGCTTCTTTGCAAAATACACATATTACTTCTGAAAATCAGGATGAGTCAGGCATTAAGTTTTACTTAGTCATGATTTCTTGGTGACAGTTTTATAATAAAGTTGTATGGCTTTTCTCAGAAGACTTTTAGTTCCTATAAAGCATTTTTAAGCTGTCATCAATGAAAAGTACCTTTCACTCATAAAGCTGACAATGTCTCTGAGATACTCTGTCATTCTCTTGTAATGTTTTTGAGGCGGACATTGAAAATTTAAGGGGGAGTCCTCAATCTCAGAATTTAATCTGTGGACAAGAGAGTATTTTTACTACAGGTTTCTTAACTTCTGTGCATATTCAAGAGTATGTATTCTTCAGCACAAGCAAGACTCTTGCTAATTAATGTTGTCTAGCTTCTCATCTTATTCAAAAATTCTGTACTAATGTTCAGAAGTCTTCTGAGGTTTGCTTTATAGGTCTTTCAGGGGATTATTGTACCATGGGGAAGGAAAGATAATTGTACAGTTTTAACTTAGCCCTGCAGAGTAAGCTCAAGTTATGAGGGTATGAAATGGGAATTTTAATGTTTTTATGTTCACTTTTTTTGTAGTGAGCGCCAGATCTGAAATCAGACACTTTGGGCAATATGATATGCTCCCTTGATGATAGCAGTTGGACAGCAGATACGACCAACAACTGTGAATTATGTAGGCAGAGTAGACTATTATCCCACGAGTCCCTCCTTGAAGAACATTTTAATAGTTTTGATGCCATGGGATACTCTTCCTGTAGCTGTTCACCTCTTTTCTGGGAC